TCACAAGGTCTATTCTTGCCCCAGGGCCATTCCTCTTCCTGTAGCAGGTGAAACATTTTCCTCACAGGAGAAAAATCTCAATGTTGGAGTTACAACGTTTGGAAAAATTAGTAGATGTGTCAGTACACAAAGTGTCCTCTTTGCTGTCTTTGTGACATGATAAATGACAGTTCGGGATCTTTACCAGCATCTGTCAGTAACAGTTGGATCATATGTGTATCTTCAAAAGATTAACATCATTGACTGTCAGAGACAACTGAGTCTAAACCAACCAATAAGAATGAAGAGAAAGGATTGGAAATGGTTTGTAGTTTGTATACATATCTCCTTTAACTCTACAGTGATAGTGCTCTAGATTACTATAGTTCGTTTATTTGACTCACTATTTTCTTCCTCTCCAACTGGATTCCCTCAGGCAAATCATCGTTCCCCTGACAAGGAAGGGTTGGTGGAATGGATGACGGCTTATGTCTTCCAGCTCTCACATAATGTTTAGAAAGTCAGCTAGTTTCTGTTTGTTTGACTTTGTTCTTTTAAAAATCAACTAGTTTTGTTTTTGTTTTTGTTTTTTCTAAACACACATCCTCCACATTTTAAGCAACCAGTAAAAGACCATGGGTGATATTCTTTGGTCACATTCTAACCTGGAACCAAAAGTATTCATTGAGAGAGCCTAAAGGCCTCGTTGTTATTAAACAATGCATAGTTACTTTCTTTAAGATAGATACTGGGCCCTCATCCTAACCCAGAGAAGTGGAAAGAAATCCCATGTTAAATTGATTTATTATGGTAAACACTGCTTGTGGTTGGTTGGCCTCAACCACTGAATCAGGCACTATAAACAATTCAAACATGTGTGTGTGTGTGTGTGTGTGTGTGTGTGTGTGTGTGAGAGAGAGAGAGAGAGAGGGAGAGAGAGAGGGAGTGAGAGAGAGAGACTGGGGATTAAACCCAAGGCCTTCTCTTTTTCAATGAAAGAAGGTAATTCTCCATGAGTAGTTCACAATGCCCAGAATAACAAGTTTTACAAAGTGCTTTTATACATCCTACATTGTTTCAATCTCATAATAACCCAGAAAAGTCATTAGACTTGGCATTATTATCTACATTCAATAGACCAGGAAATTGAGACTCAGAGAGTTTAAGTGATTGGCAACGTCAATGAGCTAATTAATCAAAGAGCAAAGCTCATTTTCCAACATCCTAGTATAACTCCTGACAAAGCACTCAAGTTCGCTTTATGTTTGCAGAGCATTTTATAATTATCCCTTCTAGTTCACAGTTCTACAGGCATCTTTTAAAACTCATTTAATCCCTATTCCCACCCTATGTATAAGTATTCTTCTGATCCCATTTTACAGATGATAGTTTTCAAAGTTATCAACCCACATATCTGATATAATAATACTTGTGAGTAACCTTTTTAGCACTTTAGTATGTTTCAGTGCTTTGCTAATCAAGAATACAAATTTGAGGGGTGGGAATGAAGCTCACTGGTAGAGTGTTTGCTTAGCCTGTACAAGGGCCTAGTCAGGGATGGCAAACCACTGAGAGCTTTCAAGGATACAAACTGCCCATTTCAGCCTATGTGCCATAGGCTTACTACTAGTGGATTCAATTCCAAGTACTGAAAAAAGAAAAAGTACATATATACATATACACACAAACACACAAACACACAAACATACACACATTTGAAATCCTGAAGTAATCTCTAAAACAACCTCTGAGAAGAGAGGGCAAATTTTTTTTTTAACTTAAACCAAGAGCTAGCAATAATTCTAGTTATTATTACTGATGTTATAAATAACTTCTAAGAATAAACGTTTTTTCAATACTGAGGATTTAACCCAGGGCCTCTGTCCTGAGCTATATCCCCAAATTCCACCCCCACTATCTCTTTTCAAAATTTTGAGACAGGTTCTTGCTAAATTGCTCAGCCTGGACTCAAACTTGCAATCTTCCTGCCTCAGCTTCCCAGAGTGCTGGGATTATAGGTGTGCGTCACTATCCCAGTTTAAAAGTAATTCATGGAGGGCTGGGGATTTAGCTCAGTGGTTCTGCCACCTGCCTCTCAAGCACAGAGATCCAAGTTCAATCCCCAGTACCAACAACAACAACAAAAAGTAATTCATGGATATTAACAAGGTACCCAAAGAATTCATTGGAGAAAGAACTGTCTATTTAACAAATAGTCCTAGGACAGCCAGATAGCCACGCACAAAAGAATGAAGTTGGGCTCCTACTTCATACCATATACATAAATTAATTTAATATGGACCAACTTGAAGCTTGGTGTGGGGGCATGCATTTATAATCGAAGAACTATAGGAAGCACAGGCAGGAGGGTTGCAAGTTTGAGTCTAGTCTGAGCAAATTCACAATTTAGTAAGAGCCTGTTTCAAAATTTAAAATAAAAGGGGTGGGTCAAGATGTAGCTTACTGTGAAATCCCTGGATTTACTCCCCAGTACCCTATCACCACCCAAAAAGGTAGAGGAACTATCTTGAATATAATACCTGAAACTATAAAACTCTTAGAAGAAAATTCAGAGTTAAATCTTTAGGCAATAGATGTAACATATGACACCAAAGGGAAATAACCAAAAGGAAAAAAATAACCCAAGGAAAAAAAAATAGATGAACTGAACTTAATCAAGAGAAAAAATTAAACTTGACCTGGTGGTGCATGTTTGTAATCCCAGCACTCTAGGAGTCTGAGGTAGGAGGATCACAAATCTGTGCCAAGCCTGGGCAACTTATCAAGACCTGTCTCAAAATAAAAACAAAAATGGTTGGGGGTGAAGCTGAGTGTAAAGGCCCTGGGTTCAGTCCCAAATAGCACATCAAAAAAAGTCCAGGATAGGTAAACCTATAGAGAAAGAAAGCATATCAGGGATTGCCAGGGATTGAGGGAAAAGAGGGAAGGGAAATGAATGTCAATGGATAGGACAGGTTTTTTTTGCGGGGGGCACAATAATGTCCTAGATTTTGATACCAGAATGGTTGCATACTTTGTGAAAATAGTTAAAAGAATCACTGAATCCATATTTCAAAAGGGAGACTTTTGAGCCAGGAATGGCGTGCATGCCTATAATCCCAGAACTCAGGAGGTGAAAGCGAGAAGACTGTTGAGTTCAAGTGCATCCTAAAATATAGTGAGTTCCAGACCAGCCTGGGCTACTGGGCTGCAGAGCAAGAGTCTGCCTAAAAAAAAAAAAAGCTGTACATTTCACTTCTCTTGGATACCTAGGGTTCATGTCTGGGTCAAAGGGTAGATACATAGGGACATATGAACATATTTTATATTGTAATTTTAAGGCCTCCAGAAAGAGTCTGCCAAAAAAAAAAAAAAGCTGTACATTTCACTTCTCTTGGATACCTAGGGTTCATGTCTGGGTCAAAGGGTAGATACATAGGGACATATGAACATATTTTATATTGTAATTTTAATAAATATTTATGGCACTGGATATTTAACACAGGACTGTCCCACAGAGTTATATCCTCGGCCTTTTTTATGTTTACTTTGAGACAGATCTGATAGGTCACTAAGTTGTCCAGGCTGAGCACAAAAGTGCAGTCCTCCTGCCTCCACCTTCTAGAGTGCTGTGATGATAAACTATACAAAATTTTTAAAGAAAAAAAAATGAAGTGAATAAATCTGTACCAATAATACTAATACTCATTACCTTTTTTCCTATTACCTCCTCCCCCATTTGGTATTTGGATCTGTCAGATCTTAACTTCCCAGGCCAAATAAGTGACCCACCACTTTCCAGGATGAATCATCAAAGATGAAGAAATTCCAGTATTAACCTGCCCAAGAGAAACTAGGTTTTATGTTACCACTAGAAGCCAAGAGACTCAAATGATAAGTCAAAAAACTGCTGGCACAAAGGAAATGCAGCCTCAATCAGCAGATATACCTGCAAACAAAACAAAACTCATGACACCCATCCTCTATAATAACAGGGTGTCACCAGAATAGATACTTAGCTTTAAAAAGAAGAAACGAGTAGGTTCTGAAACTAGGCAAATCAACACATCAAGAAAGAGAATAGCAAAAATAACTTTATCTCTAGGAGGGTTTGTAAGCAAATTGTGAGCCAAAACTTGGTAACTCCCAAATCCAAACTGAAACTCGGGTGCTGCAAAAAAAAAAAATTCAATTAAAACCATGAACATCTCTTCTCAGGAAGGAAGAAGTGAAATATAAATATAATATAAATGTGTAAGAAAATGTAGGTAAAAGAAAAAATGTACTACCATGGTGTCAATGAAAGATTTTACTGGTACCTGCTGGGCCAGTGTCGCATCACTGTCCCTTGTCCTGAGAACTGGCCATGAGTCCTAACGCACAGGAAGGTTACAATATCACTCTTTCCTCCTGGCTACAGCTGTTTAGAGTAGGTTTGGCCACACGCTTGATCAAGTTTGGACTCTAAATGCCATGGAAAACCACTGAAAAATCTTTGTGTACATGATAACATGGTCAAATTTATTGTTGTTTTTTTTGGTTTTTGGTACCGGGGATTGAACTCGGGTCCTTGCACTTGCAAGCAGGCAACCGAACCGCTGACCTAAATCCCTGGCCCCTACATGGTCAAATTTATGATTCAAAAATTTTCAAATAGGCCCAGGGATTTAGTTCAGTGGCACCACACCTGCCTTGTAAGCACAAACTAAAGATTTTTGTCATAGTTCAGATATTTAGAGAGATGAATATGACTGATACTGGCAATGCAGCACAGGAAAAGCCACAGAGACAATATCTAGCAGCAGAAGAGCAAATGTTTTCCAAGGAGCCTGAGCTATTGGAAGAACCAGAAGACTGTGGGGTTATAAAAGCTGAGAGGAGTTTTGAAAAGGAAAAAGGAGTCGATTATGGCTTAAGAAGTAATGAAAAGCCTGCTTGTGACTAGGACAGCCTTTTATTAAAGGAAGCAGAGAAAGAGGGCAAAAGCTGGGGTAACATGAAGTGCCTGTAACATACCTGCAGCTTCTTATTTCACTTGAGATAATCTGAAAAGGCCACGTCCAGCTGGAGGTGTAACACAGAGGCAAGGATGCTTCGCTACCAAGCTGAGGTTGGTCCACAGTAGCACAAATCTTCATTCATCCGTACATGCATCCATCCATCCATCCATTAATTCATTAAAAGGACATGATCCCGACCTGATGTGCAAATCTTTCCATGTTATGATCCCTTGTATCAGTCAGGGTCCATAGAGGTCAGAAGGGCATGGAGCAGAACAGGGAATGATAGAGAATGGGTTTCATAAGCAAGGAATCAGTACAACCTTGCTCACCTCCCAGGTTCATCTCTGCCTATTCTCCTCAACTCCTTCTAGCTTGATGGGACTTTCTCTAAGCCCCAGAACATTTTACGCAGCATCCTACCTCAGGTCTGGCTCAAGCTGATCTCATCTAACACACTCTTATCTTCTCTGTTCACCTTATCAACTCAAAATTACCCTTCCACCCTCACCTTAAAGCCTTTCTACCCCTTGCCTCTACTTAATCTGGATGAAATACCACTGTCATATTCTCTCATAATGTCCTGTTCTTTTCTCCAGTGGTATTCATCATAGTTTGTAATACTACACTCAGTCAAGCATTAATATCTTTCTTCTCCATAAGAACAGGAATTAGGTCTGTTTTTCACAGTATAATTCTTGGCAATGAGGTGCCTTCCATACTAATATGTATTGAAAGACTTCACGAATCAGATATAACACCCAGTCTCACATCAACCATGATCTCTGCATGCAGTTTAGCAATAGCATAACTGATCTTTAACGAGGCCTTCTTGCATGCCAGGTTATCCATGTGCTAGTAATGTAATGCTTGTCATCTCACTCACTTCTCACAATAACCTAATGATACAAGGACTCTTACCAGTCCCATTTTTCCCACAAATGGAGCTGAGACTCAAGAGGCCAAGTCTTACAGCCTAGGATACAACACTGCAGTGGAGGCAGGACGTGAACTGAGATCCTACAGACACCACAGCTGGTGCTCTGAGCCCTTCCTGCACACAGCATGGCTTCCTGTCATATTTCCCTGTGTATCTGTTTTGCGTGCGTGTGTGTGTGTGTGTGTGTGTGTGTGTGTGTGTGTGTTTATACACATGCATTCTGTATTAGGCTGTGTGGAGACACACCAGATACCCAGAGTTAGTAGCAAGATTATTTTAAACTGAAGACGTGAGATTCAACAGATGCAGAAAGGCACCTTATTGAGTCTTCCTTATCTGACTAAAGATAGAAACTTCTGAGAAATGAAGCTTGTATAAACTCCCTCTTCAGAATAGCTTCTATTCCCAGGACAGAGACTAACAGTAAAGCTAATATAAGGCCCCTCTCTAGAGGAGTTGCATGGCTCTGAAGACAACAGAGAGACTATTTACAACAGAAGAGACAAACCTTTTCACTAACTTTATCTGCCATTTGTTCTTTTAAAAACTCCACCTGTCTTTCCTTAAAAATAAAATCTACAGCGTTTGTTTTCCCACAGGAACTGTTCTTACTGCTCCTCTTCCCAAACTGACAAGTATTTAAGCCCCAACCAAATTCTAACCATGACATACTTCCACTTAAATGCATACTGTACATATAAACTCTTCCTTACCAATCAGCCATGTCAGTTTAATTTACAGGCCCCCAGCATAGATGTAAGAGAGTAAATTTTTCTTCCCCAACTATTCTAAGTTCCTTTGGGAGGCAGGAAGTTTCAGTTTTAATCCCACTACAGGTTGCACAGTACATGTTAAATGTTGGCTCTTTCCCAGCAGGAGAGCACACCTAGTGCTGTCATCCTTTACACCAGTTTTTAGCCACATACCTTCTGTTTACTAGAGAAGTAGTCTATCCATCAACCCTTTGAGCTCCCCTGCAGTGAGCACTTTGTCTAGAGCTCAATTCATTTGAGGAACTGATAAGAGTTGAGGGACTGGGCAGTCACATTGTGAACTCTGGACACATGAGGTTTCCTTACTTAAGACAACTCTGCCTCAGAAACCAGGGTACCCTTTCTGAAAGGCACCTTGGAATCTGATTTGACTGTGACAATGGGTTCCTGCGGTCACATGCTAATTGCTTCACTAACAGCACCTTGGTTTCCCTAAACAGTTTTCAGAGGACTAGATACTAGGAGCATCACATCCGCTCTGGAATCCCTTTTCAGGATACAAAAGGAGAGAAAGCATGCTGAGAGAAGAGGCAGGGGATAGTTTTCAAGAAAACTTCTGCCTCCTCCTGTCAGTGCCTGCCTTTTATCACAGAAGGCCTGCAAATGTGTTCTTTTCTAGAACACCCACCAGGATGTTGGAGTTGGCCTACAATGAGACAAAGAAGTGCCTCTTTCCTTTTTCCTGTGAGGGCCAGAGGGGGATGTGGTTAGGGCAATGGCTGACACACCCCTCCTTCTCACTTCTCTTTGATCTCCTCCACCCAGAACAGACTGGGGCAACTTTTCTCTTGCCTCTGTGTCCTCCCACCACCCATGAAGTTGCTTCATGGCTGTTCTCAGGGTCACCCAACAGGAGATGCAGCTCAGCTGTGAGCTGTGGTGCCCCTCCCCCACTCCTACCACTCCACACCTTGCTGGGGCTTCTTTAAGTAAGGTGAGGGGGCCACCCTAATGTGGTTAAGATCAGAGGAGGGATCTAGGCCCATTGTTAACATCCCTAAACTCCTCAAACCCCAATAACAAACACAGCTAGTTTTTCCAAAGACCCCCTAGTTTTGGCCCTGACAGTTTTCATAGAAACGTGACAGCTCAGCTTTCATTGCCCGTCCTTTGGATTGAATCATACCCATGGCAGTTGCAGGTGTCCTGGAGCCTGGCACCCACTTGAACCAATCAGAGGCCTGCATCTGGACCAATCATAGGCTTGCAGCTGCTATATAAGCAGCACTCCCCTCCCACTGCTCAAGTTAACCTAAGAGGGCTTCCTCCAGTGTACTGATCCCCCCATGCTGCCACACATGTCCTGTTAAAATAAAAAAAGACTAGCCCCAGTGGTCCTATAAATCTCTGTGATTTATTTCTTAGATAATGTGGGCCCTGAGGATCCTATAAATCTACTCAGGTTTCTTATAGTGAGTAGCAGGGACACACGAGTTGCTTTAAAAGAAAGAGCAAAAAACACTAGGGGCCACTGGCCCCGAAATGTTCCAGAGACCATCAGCTAACAAAGATTAGCAGAATTGGCCATCACCTAGCAGAATCTCCTGCTGGCATATGGCACAAGCAGGCACTAAAGGGGAGGCAGCAGCAGAGACCAGCACCCAGCAGGCTTAACAGTGCCCAGCACAAGCCAGTGTCTAACAGTGGCAGCTGGTAGTGGCAGCAACCAAAGCCAGCAGGGTCAAAAAAAAAGAGCATCTGGAATTCACAGGAGTTGATTGGTGGCATCAGGGATCCTAGCAAAGCTATACTTTGTCTATTTTTCCTATCTGAATCAAGCAAAAGAACCCTAAACTGGCTGGCAACAATCTGAGCCCTGGTAACATTCCAAAGGGCACTGAATTTTGGCAAAGATGAATCCAACAGCTAGGGACTGCGTTGTGGTTTACCTATGCCCAAGGCGGGCAACTCCACAGCAGCCAAAGACCTCTTAACTCTGTCATTCTTTATTTCTTCCATTTCTTTTCTGTTATTTCCCAGAACTTTCTTTTCTGTTTTGCTCTTCCCAACCCAGCTTCTTTTGAACTCAGAAAGCTAAAACTAGAATATCATCTAGCCCAAAGCAGTTCATGAGAGTCAACATAAATAGTGTCCCTGGGATTGCACAATATATAATCTGCCTGAATCTATGACAATCCTCAATTCTGATTACAAAACAAGTTCTGAATCCTCACTTCGAAAGAAGAGTAGTAGTCAGGTGCAATGAAAAAAAAAAGACTCTTGCCCCAGCTACCCAAGCCAAGGTGCATATATTTACCTCTGGATCACTGGGTACTGCAAGAAGCAGAAGCCAAGATGGTATTAGAAATGTAGAGATACTGTTGCAGAGAAAGCCTGTGAAGAAAAAAGGAAGAGAGAGCAAGAATATGTGGTAAGAGTCTTAACCCACAGGGAAGTTCTGTGAAGGAAAAGAAGGAAGACTGGGTAGGAAGAATGCCTAGTTGCAATGAAACTGAGGAAATACAGGACAGCAGGGATGGCTGATAAGAGAAATTCAGCTTTGGGCAGAAATGGCTTAGTTCCAGCTTATCTTGAGCATGGTCTTTACATAAATGATCCCAGAGGAGAAGCTGTTAGAAGGTGCCAGCCAACCATATTCCTCACAACTCATTCTTCTACATAGAAGTCTTCCCATGGCTGCCTTCTTAGGTAGCAGGAATTAAATTTCTCCCAAGGAAATACAAGGGAGGCACAGACATCAGATAATCAGTCAGTGTCTATTGTCTGTAACTGTTCATCACACATAATTAAGAAAGCTGAGTTGTTTTTTCCCAAAACATGTCTTGGTTTGGGCTTACTAAAACTGCCAGCTCATTTAGCCAAAAATGTTTTCCTAAAGAGGGGTAGGTGGGGCACTTTCTCATTTATTTTTCTACCATGGACATGTTTAAGAAATTACTATGGACTCCTCTGAAACTTGCAAAACAAAAGATAAAATTGGAACACTTTGTTGATATGAAAATGGGCAGCCCCTGGAGACCTCTTTTTAACAAACTCCTGGTATGGCTCTTCTGAGTCCCTCAGGAGCTCTCTGGAATGGAAGATGTACAGGCAGGTTTTTAGTGTCACATTCTGGATGGCTCTGGCAGATATTAATTCTGAAATAAGTGTAGTTGCACTCAAACTTGGTGTTGGAATGAGAAAATTAAACAATGACATTGTACCTTCTGGCTCTCTCTGGTGAGGTTGGATGAACACTTCTGTAAAGACAGAAACAAGCCCGGAGTAGGGAAGGTGGTTATTTTTGTGCTAAGCCATTCTGCAGGTGTACTCTGGACTTGTTCGTTTGAAAGTTAACTTGCAGAGCTCTCATTTATGCAAAGTAGTTCCCCTTATCGCTTCTGGCCACATTCCATCCTTTAGACCTTGGGTGGAACTATCCTTTCAACAGGACACAGAAATTTCATTATGAAAGCCCCATTTCCCTAACTAATCTCTACTCACCTTTACCTACCCTCTACACCCACTACTCCCATTGACCGTTATTCCCAAGGACTTCTATTTGATAAATCTCCAAGCTAGCTTTGTCCTATTTCTGCTCTTTCTGGCAATCCCTTCAGCTTGCTTTGCCTCTCTCAGGGCTTCTCTCCCAAAACCCTTCCAAAGCTGCTTCCAGCAGTTAAGTGAACACAATCTGAAGAGGTGGCCTGACTTGAAGAATCAGGGGTTGGAGGTTCTGGGGTCATTGTTACCTACTTTCCTAACCAGCAACCATCAATTCACGTTTTTGTAAGTCTGTGTATGCATGTTCCCCTTCACCAATAAATTTTCTCTTTAGGTCTTTTTTTTTAATGGCTAGATCCTTTTTATAATTCCACTTTCAAATTAATACAATGACCTCAAAGAGGGCCTAAATATTCCCTAATGTTATATTCTGCAACATTATTATCTATAGCATTATCTCGTTTCTTCAAGCCCCAATTAGCTGCAATCAGTGCTTTCTTGATTATTGTTTCTTCCAAGGACCTTTAGACTCCAAGAGAACTGGGGCTCCAGTTTTCTCACTTCGCGTTCACAGAAGATGGTCAATAGTTTTGGAAGCATTTTGTGGTGGTACACGCTTGTAATCCTAGCAGACTGGGAGGCTGAGGAAGCAGGGTTACAAGTTTGAGTCCAGCATGGGCAAATTAGAGAGTCTGTGTCTCCTTATAAAAAACAAAAAAGGAGGGCTGAAGAAGTAGCTTAGTGTGAAGGCCCTGGCTTCAATCCCCACATCGGGAGAGGAGGAGGGGGCTCAGGAATGACAGAACTTAATAAATGAAAAACGACGGGATGACAATCACTGCAACAGAACGCCAAAAGAAATTATATTCTTATGCTTTAAGGATATAAACCTGCACATATTTTAAAAATTTTTTTAAAACTAAAAATAAAGACTATAAACCTGCCGATTTTGTCAATCACATATAAAACATAAATGTATGTGTATGTATGTATGTATATACACTGAGCACTTTTTCCCAGTTTCAAGTGAGTTTCAAAGCTTATGAAAAAGCTGTTAATACTGGTACTGGGTAGCAGTCTAAATATAAAACCACTGTACCACTGAATTAGAGTGGGAAAGAATTTAGAATCCAACTTCTTCAATACACAGGAGTGGAAAGTAAGGCTCAAAGATGTAAACTCATGGGCATTTATACGCAAATACGGCAAGGTATCCGTTAATGAGGAATACTATACAAATGCCCACACTTTTGAATAATCACTTATAACATAACATATTTTAAAGGAATGGATGTGGGTAGATCTTACACCAGTAGTTCTAAATGTGAGCGTCACCACAATCACCTGGAGGATTTGTTATAGCGACGAGGCGGAATTTCTGGTTCCGTAGGGCTGAGGTACAGGCGAAAGACCCACGCGCCTTCCGCGTTCGGGCGCACCACACGCGAAAAAAACTATAAGTCCCGATGTGCTCCGCGCGCAGCGGAAAGGCGGGCACTTCCGGTCCACGCAGCGCCTCTGCCCCCGCGTCTCGACGTGTCACCGGCGGCGCCGTGGCTGTAGCAAGGGAAGGAGCTGACTGGGGAGTTCCAGGCGGCGGGTGACGGCAGCGACCCCGGCCTGGACCTGCCCCGGCACGGAAGTGTTCTGGGGTCCGTGGGAAGCAGGAGACGGAGGCGGCAGCCCGGCCTGCGTGGGGCAAGATGTTGAACATGTGGAAGGTGCGGGAGCTGGTGGACAAAGCGTGAGTATCGGAGGCGGTCGTGGCCGAGCCCCACGCCGGAGAGTAGGGGGAGGCAGAGAGGAAAGAGAGCGGCCTTGCGCGCAGGGTCGTCCGCGTCACGCCCCCCGGCAGGGCCACTCACATCATGGCGGCGGCTGCTCCTTCCCTGTCCTGGGCCTTCGTCCCACTGGCGAGGCTGGGGAGGGACCGTTCCTCGCTTCCAGACACCCTCTTACTCCCATTCTGTTCCACTCAGGACTTTCTCTTCTTGCCCCTGCCCCAAACCCTGGACGCGGACGCTGTGGTACGAGGAGGGGGCAGGGTGTCTGTACTTGGGTCGCTGCCCTGGTAAGAGGACTGTCTGGACTCCTGGTTCTGAGCTCTGCCTCCTGGATAGTAGGGGAGTTGTGGGGGCGAGGGATGCAAAGCATGGGCCCTCTGTGCCCCTCAGGATGCAGTAGAGAGAGAGAGAGAGAGAGACAGACAGACAGACAGACAGACTTTAGTCCTGATTGGGGGGGGGGCTTGTCTTTTACTTGAACCTAAGTGTTGTAGTGGATACTAACAAGTAGCCATTGTAAGACTTTAGTCCTGATTGGGGGGGGGCTTGTCTTTTACTTGAACCTAAGTGTTGTAGTGGATACTAACAAGTAGCCATTGTGGTCCGGACGAAATCCTCCAACTTGCGCCACACTTTGTTTTTGGTGAGCCACTTGTTCTGTTTATTTTAATTAAGACGTCATTAAGAAATTCTAAAGAGGGGAAAAAAAAAACCCTAGGTTTATATCCTGTTGACCTGCTTTTAACTTCCTTATAACA